AGAAATTAAAGTAATTTTGAAGAAAAGAGCTGTCAATATATTCCCAGTTTCTTCAAGAACACTTAGATTTCAGTTTCATATTATAATTACCTTTCAAAACCTTTGAAAGTTACAATTGCTCATGCACAATGAATATCTGAAGAGGGGGGACCCTTAATATTATAATGCAGCTATGATTTATTGGGCAAGTATAGCTTTTATACAAAAAATGAGACCCAAAGAAGAAAAATGAGTTGGAATATGCAACACATGCAGTATCAACTCATCAACAGCATTTGGGCCCACCGATGTCAAATTCACACTTTAGTGTACCTGGCAGCTGGGGGCGGTCCCTCCATAGCCTGGGAACCTGCTACCACAGCCACTTCTATGGTCCACATCTCAGGCTTCCAGCTGGAATCTCAGAAGCTAGGAAGAACACCTGATTGCTATAAGTATTATGATTCTACTACACTGTGCATTAAATGGGCTTTTACAGGCTAGTATGAGATCTTAACCAACATTACAACTTCGATTCCATGAGAAAATATATTCTGAGTTTATTTTTTTTTTTATTTTTTTTTTTTAATATATTTTATTGATTTTTTACAGAGAGGAAGGGAGAGAGATAGAGAGTTAGAAACATCGATGAGAGAGAAACATCGATCAGCCGCCTCCTGCACATCTCCTACTGGGGATGTGCCCGCAACCCAGGTACATGCCCTTGACCGGAATCGAACCTGGGACCTTTCAGTCCGCAGGCCGATGCTCTATCCACTGAGCCAAACCGGTTTTGGCATATATTCTGAGTTTAAAAATGACAAACAAGAAATACATTTCAGGTACTGCTGTCTACACAAATTTAAAGTTACGTTAATTAGAGCTAATCAGTACAATACTAAACTTCTTTTAAAAAGGTAAATATGACACTCTCCAGTTCCAACCATTCACCATTGACTTTTTAAAAAAAAATAAAACTAAGCCAAATATCAAATATCTTATCCTCAACTATGCACAAAGGCAAAAAAATGACTTAAAATTCATAATAATGACATCCAATAGCTTAATAAATGCCCTTGACCCACAGCCCTTGTCCTCACATTATTCTACAGTAGAGGAGAGCATGAAGAGATAATTACCACCCAATCCTATATCAATGAGTCTGAGGTAATTAGTTTTGGGTTGGGTTTCTGTTTTCAAATACTGTTTAGTTTTTTTCAAAAAACAGAGAACATATTGACATATGTAATTTATTGACTAAATTCTGTATAAAAAATCTTATTTTATAAAAGACTCTGATGAGATGGGGCCAAAATAGAGCAGAGAGTTGTTCAGAAAAGGGACAATTTACATTACAAGTGGGTTTGAGAACTTGTAATAGATATATATTTTCAGTCCATTAAAATAATCTGCTTTGAGGACTCCTTTAATGCCCCTTTATTTATTTCTCAATAAACAAACTCGTTGCAGATCAGGAGCAGATTGGAAGGAGGCTTGAAAGGAAAAAAAAAAAGAGAGAGAAGTTAAAAAAAAAAAGAGAAGGGCAGGAATAATCAACAACTAATCATTTTTGTTTTAATGTTACTATAACTTACTATAAGGATCAGTTGAAAATTACAATTTTAATTCTGAGTCACATCATCAAACCAGGGAGATAATTTTTATGGGTTTTCTGAAATGCCACTTCATCCTCTATATTTTAAGTGAACTCTTTAATAAAAGTAACTTAGATAAAAGTTACAAACCAACAATTAACTCTACAGGACACACTGAATTTTGTTACCTGGCAAATGCTCCAAAGATGGACATTAAGCCTGATTGTTTCTGGTAGACACTATACTAACACTAGTGGTGAAGGTATTTACATTTCCCTCACACTTTGATAGCATTTATTTTCTGTAATAAGCTATTTATTTAACATACTGTGAACTATAATATACACTTATTTTTTTCAATAAGTTGGCTATTTATATGGCATTCTCCCAGACACAAATTAATTGAGCTATTTTTTCAGTTGATCAAACTGATACTGTGTATACAGACATTCTTCTGAGTTTTGACCCACATCATATGTGAGTCAGAGCAAACATAACTGCTATTTTTTAAACCCTTTTATATATGCAATCACTATCTCTCTTCTTACATTGAATTTCCAGCTCAAATGTTTCTAGATAGTCCAAAATCCTATCCGTGTTTTAATTTTACTAAGTCATTTCCAATTACGCTTAATTCAATAATAATCTTAGTTCATTCGGCATTTCAGTCAGTACCACATACTATCTAAATTAGATGCTCCATGAAAGATAAAAAATCTTTTGGACTTTAGGTTTTCTCTCTCTTAGCCTTCATTTCTTTTTTAATTTGGCTGTATAGCTATAACCAGTAGACGATCTTTCCCAATCTTTCTCAAACCCAGTCTCTTCTAAAAATAATGAATAACAGAACAATAATTTGGCCACTGTAAGAGATATTTAATGCATAATGCCACGGACATTCTGCAAGAATACTAGAGCATTTTAGCAAAACAAGTAAAATGATCTTTAAAAGTAATAAAAAGTAAGTTACCTGATTGTTTTAAAATAATAGGTAAAAAGGATCAGGCTGAAAATGCATAATACGCCATTCTCACACATACTATTACCTAACTTTTTACATGCACATCAAAAAGAAAAATTTTGTCTTGCATGTTTAACAGTTTTCAGAATGCATCAATTAAAATATATAAATAAAACATCAAATACTGTGTTAATACATTACTTCACCTCTCTGGCAAACCAATAATTGAATCAAAATGATCTAAAACACCTCTGAGCAACCAACACAGAGGTCCAAAAGTCTAAGAATTAAGAGAAATACACTTAAACATGGATAGTATACAATTTCTTCAAAAATTAGCCCTAATTCCTTCATTTACTACATATTTTTCCTTATATTTTTTTCATTTACTCCTACTTTTGACACAGTGCTAACAACTATCTGGTTTGTCAACTAATAGCACATTCCAAGTAACTTTAAATTCTGACTGTATACTCTAAGATTCAAAACATCAGGAACTATATACAAATTCTGTACTCTAGTTAGTAAATTTGCTTCTCACAGGGCTAGGGGTTAAAGATTTTCATGCATACTAGGGTTGAACAAATAAGTAAATATATTGTAGAAAACAAGAACCAGGTTTCTTACTGTTGAAGAAATTACAAATCAGGAAAGCAGGAATTCTAGAATGAATCCTGTGGTACCAGGATGAACTCAGGGTGTTTTAAGATACACACAGAAATACTGGTAAATACAGCTCTCTGTGTATGCATAAGTTAGTATACATACTCTGCTAGCTCCATCCACTAAGAGGATCTTGAAGCAATTGTCAAATAGCAGCAATGAACACAGGTAGCCTAGCCCCCAAATCTTGGCTTCTAAATACCATCTATATATATATAATCTATTTATATAAAGAGGTAATATGCTAATTGGTCCTAACGGTGTCACAGTCATGACCGCTAAGGAGGAGGCTGCCTGCGTGTGCATGGCGGGGTGTTGCTCCCAGAGACGGGTGGAAGCGGGGAGGCGTCTGGAGGAGGCCCGTGCCCGGGAGGACTGGGGTGAGAGCCCATAGTGCCCCCCTCACCAGTCCTTCGCCACCCAGCAGGCAGGAGGTTTCCACGCTCTTCTCTGGTGCCATGACGGGGCGGAGCCGCCGCATTGCTCTGGAGACAGGGCAGAAGTGGGGAGGCACCCAGAGAAGGCGTGACCAGCCTGAGGCGACTTGAGGGACTGAGAGCTGGGCTTGAAGTGGCCAGAGAAGGCCAGAGGGGTTGGGGGGCTGGGCCAGGCACACTGGAGCTCTGTGTGGAGAGGTTCGGGTGTCAAGGCAGGGTGGCAGGTGGGTGGGTGGGCCACGTAATTTCGCGCGCTGGGCTCCTAGTTCTCCAATAAAAGAAGACGAGGTTCTATGAAGTAGTTGTTTCCAGGGCTGGGGCAGAAAAATAAAAGATGAGCGGAGAGCATCTCCTGGTGCCAGAAATTAAGAATGTTCAAAAAGTTTAGGAAAATATCAAAAGAGCCCAGGAACTCATCCATCTGAACTCTCAATGGTCAAAGCTAGAACAATTTGGGCAACAAAATAAATAATAATGTCAAACTATAATCCAACAAAATAAAATATCCATTGCCCGGCCAGCGTGGCTCAGTGGTTGAGCGTTGACCTATGAACCAGGAGGTCACGGTTCAACTCACAGTCAGGGCCTATGCCCGGGTTGCGGGCTCGATCCCCAGTGTGAGGCATGCAGGAGGCAGCCGATCAAAGATTCTCTGTCATCACTGATGTTTCTTATCTCTCTCTCCCTCTCCCTTCCTCTCTGAAATCAACAAAAAAATAAAATAAAATAAAATATCCATGGGTTCATGCTGATAGACATAAACAAATAAATGGAGAAGGGATAGCCCTTCCTTACACAAGAATCCTAATTAGTACATGTAAAAGGGGAGAGGAAAATGAAAATCACCACAGTAGTAACTCTTGCAAATAAAACTCATCAAAGGACCCAAAAGCAGTGAGCCAAAGTTGAAAGAGACATAGGATATGTGCATAATTTCAAAGTATCTACCTGAAAATATTTATTAATTAGGAAGGGAAAAATAGTAACTTTACAGAAGGAAAGCCTATGAAAAGCTGCTTTAACCAAGTGTAAACAAGGTTATCAGCAACAGCCATAAGACATGAGCATCACATGCCTGATATGAGGCACTGAGAAGGGCACATCATTTCTGTGGCACAAATGCCAAAAAAAAAAAAAAAAAAGTGCATTGCCTAAATCTAGTTGTGGGAAAATAAGTGCAAATTGAGGGATATTCTGGGAAACAACTGACGACTATTCTTCAGACATATTCAGGTCATGAAAGATGAAGGAGATGTAATATATGTATCAGGGCACTTAGCACAGGAGACACAAAGATAAATCAAGCAGGGCACTGACTCCAAGAGCTTAGGCAAGTGTACCGATCAATTCCATAAGCGATGTCACCTCTTGATCCTTGGCCTAGTTCTTTGATCTGAAGTCCCATTCCTCTCTTGAACTTTAGAATGCGATAATCCTTTCTCTTAGACATAAACAACAAACTCGGAAACAAATGTAAACATAATCCTATCTAATAAAAGAGAAACATGGTAATTAGCCGTACGGCCGCTACCCTTCCCATTGGCTAATCAGGGAGATATGCAAATTAACTGCCAGCCAAGATGGCAGCTGGCAGCTAGGCAGCTTGAAGCTAACAGGGAGGCTTGCTTGCTTCAGTGATGGAGGAAGCCAAGCTTCCCCGCCTGCCTTGCCGGCCTCTGAGCTGCAACTCTAAGAAACATTGTAACAAATATAGAAGTTAAACTAAACCCCAGAAACCTGCTTTAGTCAGCCAGGCTTCAGCCAGCAGGACCGCAACATTGTTTCAAATACAGAAGGTAAACAAAGGCCAGAAACCTGCTTTCAGCAGCCGAGGCCTCAGAGCTGGAGCCGAGCCTGAGCTAAAGCTGGCCCAGAATTAAAAAAAAAAAGAAAAAAAGGACAGGTTGGGAGCTTCAGTCACCCGCCAGCCTGAAAACGGCCCTCAGCCCCTCACGCAGACTGGCCAGGCACCCCAGTGGGAACCCCCACCCTGAAGGGGGTGTGACCAGCTGCAAACAGCCATCATCCTCTCATCCAGGCTGGCGAGGCACCCCAGTGGGGACCCCCACCCTTATCCAGGACACCCTTCAGGGCAAACCAGCCGGCCCCCACCCGTGCATCAGGCCTCTATCCTATATAGTAAAAGGGTAATATGCCTCCCGGCACCGGGATCAGCAGAGCAGCGAGGCCTCCCGGCACCGGGATCAGCGTGACAGAGGGCAGCGCCCAAACCCCCTGATCGCCCTGCGGCTCTGTGTGTGACAGGGGGCGGGGCCACAACCTCCCTATCCGCCCTGCTGTGACAGGTGCGGCGCCCCAACCCCCCGCCCCCCCAACGGGCCCTGCTCTGTGTGTGACGGGGTAGAGCCATAACCTCCCCATCGGCCCTGCCCTGAGTATGACAGTGGCGGTGCCCCAACCCCGTGATCGGCCCTGCTCTGTGGGTGATAGAGGGCGGCGCCCCAACCCCCTGACCCGCCCTGCTCTGTGTGTGATAGGGGGCGGTGCCCCAACTCCCCTATTGGCCCTACTCTGTGAGTGACAGGGGGGAGCTCCTCAACCCCCTGATCGGCCCTGCTCTGTGCGTGACAGGGGGCAGCGCCCCAACTCCCTGTTCGGCCCTGCTCTGTGCATGACAGGGGTTGGCGCCACAACTTCCCTATCGACCCTGCCTTGAGTGTGACAGGGGGCGGTGCCCCAACCCCCCAATCGGCCGTACCCTGAGCGTGACTAGGGGTGGCATCGCAACCTCCTGATCCGCCCTGCTCTGTGCATGACGGGGCGGCGCCCCAACTCCCAATCGGCCCTGCTCTGAGCCCGACCAGGGGCTGCACCTAGGGATTGGGCCTACCCTCTGCCACCCGGTAGCAGGCCTAAGCCAGCAGGTCATTATCTCCCGAGGGGTTCCAGACTGCGAGAGGGCACAGGCCGTGCTGAGGGACCCCCTCCCCCCCCTGAGTGCACAAATTTTTGTGCACCGGGCCTCTAGTGTAAGTATAAGGATCAAAAGTAAAATTATTCCCTAACCAACTACAACAACATTCTAGGCATTTATGTCTATATCACCTACTTGTTGAGTGAATACAATTTAGGGCTACCAAATAATTTTTAATGTAAATTTGAATTTTGGACAATAAATCATGTTTAGTATAACTATTTCCCATATAATATTGGCTAAATCTTTTTTTATCTAGTAACACTAATCACTGGTATAATATAGGGTCGCTACTCCTGGGGTGGGGGGAATCTCAAGTATTTATCTACCATGTTGCTCTCAGCTTACCTTAGCATTCACTGATCAAGTATCTATGTGTCTGCTATTGGCATAGCTTTGGTGGCATGACGCTGTCATTTTTACATGTTTTAGCACATAATCAGTTCCCCTAATTATCCCACAGTAGTGCCTCACCAATGATTAAGAACACAATGAATGAAACTAGTGCTTTAGGAAGATTCAGTACAAACTAATGAAGTATCCACACAAGCAGCTCAAGCAGAATAATTTTTTAAATCTTAAAATAGATGATATTTTGAGACAAAAGAGAGCATCAGAGAAGCCTGGCCTCTAGTCATGGCCCAGGACTAGACTGGAATTCACAAGGACTCTCATATTTGAGATACTCTGGAATGAGCAGAAAGCAAGGAGCAAGGTAAAATCCCGAAGCCAAAGTAACTAGATTCCTTGGAGTACTGTCAAAAGGCCTTCAAGAAAAAGGCCTTCAATGAAGTGAGCCACTTTGAGATAAAAATTGACAAGTATATCCTGGATATTATCACCAGGACTAGAGCTCTCAGATCCTGACTACAAACAAGATTACAATGATCCCAAATCCTGAGCACTGGGCATGGGTTCCTGGAAGTCATCCAGTCCTGACAACATGACCCCACATGCTTGGTCTCTAAGAATGGCCACGGGAACTGGTTTGGGCCAATACATTCACAAAATTCAATTATGTGACTATTCTGGAAAAGATGACCAGGCTGGCTGCCCTTCTTTTTTTACTGCCTGCATCCTTTTCTCCTCTTTCTGCTTGAAATGCGTTCTGACACCTAGAGTCACAATAACCATTTGGCCTCCATGAGACAAGATGAAGCCAACAGCCAACACAGCAAGGTTGGAAGAGCACAAAGAACAGACCTGCATCCCTGTCAACAGAATTCAGCAGCTGCACCAACCCTGAGCAACCTATCTACCAACCTCTCACGGCTTAAGAAAAAGACACTCCTAATTGTTTAATCTACTATGAGTTGAGTTTTTTATTACTTTTGCCCAAATGCACTCCTAACTGATAAACCCTTTCCCAATGAAGGACAGTGGTGGTCTCACTGCCCACGTTTAAAGTGGCTCCAAAGACAAGAGATACAGAGGCTGGAAAAGCCTTCAAAGCAGAGAAATAAAACTACATCAGGCAAACCGTGCCGACAAAATCAGTACTGCAAAGTGCTTATGGGTCGGGCTCTATAGCCAGACTGCCTAGTTCTAAACCATGACTCTGCCACTTATTAGGTATGTAGCCTTGGGCAAGACAGTCAAGCTCCCCACACCTCACTATTCTCATCTCTAAGTGGGAATAACAATACACTCCTCTGAAGAGTGATTGTGCAAATAAGTAAGGTAATATGTGTAAAATTCTAAGACTATATTGCTCCTTGTATACAGTAAGCTCTCCGCAAATATCCGTAATCATCATCATATTTAAGCTGATGATATAAACACAAAGAGCTATTACGCTGACACATAGATAAAAATGAGTAAGTATAGTCTATGCAGCTCATAGTGCAGTACAAGTGAGCAGAAAATTCCTCATAGACTTCAACCATCTTTAAAGCATTCTTGTCTCAACTATGTGCTTCTTCGGGTCTGTTAATAGCTGCATCAATAGCTCTTGCTCTTAGATGCCAAGGACAATGACTAAACATTAGCATTTACACTTCAAAAAAACACAGTTCAAGAGCAAAAATGTAATGTCAGATTTCGTCTCAAGGATTGTTCTTACCTGGCAAGTAGAAACAATAACTCACCTCCTAACATTAATAGAAAGGATACATTTATTATCGATTTCAAGTATATAGTACTACAGTACGCATAATCCTTTCACAGCTATATAACATCACATTCCCATTCACACCTCAATTGGATCACTATTTTCTATGAACGGCATTAGTATGAGCTGGTGTGCACATCATTCTCTTCACATGAGATCTTTTAATCAACAGGAATTATTACAGCCATATCCTAACAGACTCACTGAAATAGGTTACACTAATTCAGGTGAGTTGATAACTAGCAATAGAGAACTTTCCAAAACCAATTATGGTTCCTATGAGAATAGTAATTTGGATCAAGAAACAGCAGAAATCAAAGAGGTAAGCAAAGCTATATAAAGTTTCCACCCACCTTCCCACTCCAAACTAGTCTGGTTTTAAAAATTACTTAATAGCCTCAGGCACTAGACACCTGTAAATTCCTGTTACCATCTCATTCTTCCAGGTCCTGCTCTATTCCAGATGTTCTATGTCAGTGTTCCTAGCCTTTCAACTCTATCACAAATACATCAGCTTCTTTAGCTCTCCAATCCTTGATATCTCATCAATCCCAAATGCATCCTATCCTATTTCCCAATTTCAGTTAATTTTTTAAAAATATGTTTTTATTGATTTCAGAAAGAGAAAGGGAGAGAGAGATAAAAACATCAGTGTTGAGGATCACTGGTCAGCTGCCTCCTGCACACCCCCTACTGGGGATCAAGCCTGCAACCTGGGCATGGGCCCTGACCGGGAATTGAACTGCGGCCTCCTTGTTCATAGGTCGACACTCAACCACTGAGCCACTGGCCAGGCTTAGTTCTAATTTTTAAATTTGGGGGAAAAACATTTTCAGAATTGACAGTAACACTTTGGTTCAGGAAAAAATAAGTCTTTTCTAGAGTTAAAAGGTAATACTTAGCACATGGAGACCAAGCATACAAAAATTAAAATACATCAAATTTTATAGTTGTTGCCTAAATGTAAGTTATGGACTACCATCTCCAGTTCATGAGATGGCCTGGAGTTTATTTCATTTCCCTCCCTTGCCCATTTCTGGATCAAGGAGCTAAATAGCTAGCTCACCAGGTCAAGAGCCAATAATGAAAAAACAGGCTGAAATGAGCTGCCAAGGATCCCACCTCTGACAACCAACAACCGAAGTTCCCAATGTTACAGAGGCACCTAGAGGTTCCGGCAAATATGTGGAACATTATGGGGGAAAATTCTTCTCTTGGAGCCATTTCCACGCACATCCCAGCCCCGCAGTGCCAGCCTACACACCCTCTCTGCCGGATACGAGCCAGGCAACCTGCGTGCTCTGCTCCTCTGCCTGTGTTTTCCCTACTAAGCACTATTCAACTGCATCCCACAGTGTGTAGAATGAGGCACGTGTCCCTGCCCACCTAGCACATTCTCCTATAAGGCT